GTTTGTCACAGTGTGATCGATGTATCTTTATAAGGGGTTCGTAATGAAGGAATGTTCTAGGTCCAATAAGTAAAGTTATACAGATAACATCTGTTGATTACCAGAGAAAACCTTTTCAACTTCAATCCTTCAGTTCGTAAAAACAAGCACACGGTGCATTTACAGTACCTTAATGCACTTACACTGGACACTGAACAAGGATAAACTTCAAAGTACACTGTTTTTTCAAAAGTATGATGACCGAATGTGTTACATACTGTATGTATGTTATGTGTTAATGAGAGAATTTGTGATAAAAAAAAAAAAAGTCATATCCAAAATAAAACTCCTCAAACCTTAAGAATGATTTCCACTGTAAGTGCATCAATGTAAACCTTTAAACTGGTCTCATGTTGTTAACCAACATCAATACTGCTGCTCCCTATACACAAATTACACAATTCCAGGGAGAATTCATTCTGTTTTAGCTATCTTGCTTTCCAAGATTATGTAATGAAAGAAAACATAAGCCTAGTTCACACTACATGATTTTAAGCCCGATTTGTAAATCATTGGGCTCGCCGACAGGTCAGGGTGTTACCGCGTGCAAATCGCGGACGATGAATGCTCGCCAATCTGTTTGTATGAAAGAGCCAACAATGCATCAAAGATGCTCGCCGACGCCTCGCAGACGTGTCGCCGAGCCTAGAAAAATATCTAGCATGCTATCTAGCCTCAGTGATGTCATGAGCTACAGCCAATCAGAGCAAGGCATAGGTTGAGGTCACTGGGTAAATCTTATTTTTTCTTTTTTTGCGTTTTTTTTTCTCCGAGCAAATCATCGCGCAAACAGTTTGCAGCACTAGTTTCGGTCTGACGTCCATATTCGCATGTAATGTTCTTCGTCTTCTTCGCTGGGTATTGGTGCGCATGCTGTTTCGCGTCATTTCCGGTTCGTTTTATCGCTTGATTTTTCGTGGCAAAACATGGTTTGTAGACAAGATAGAATCGTTGGGTAACTCGTGTGCTGTGTTACCTCCTGTTGCGGATCAATCACGTTGTGTCGTGTGGTGTGAACAACTCAACAACAATTTCACAGAGAGCAAGTCGTGTAGTGTGAACCCAGACTGATCTCATGAAATTGCGTATGACACGCCAATTTGTATTTTCATTTTTGGCGTGCTATCAACACGCATAATCGCTTTTCAGCGTGTTTATGAACGCTGACTTAACTTTACATATATATACTGTATGTATATATAAATATATCACCTACCCCAACCCCATCCCTAAACCTACCCGTCACTGGGGTTAATAGCATTTATGAGTCTTCCTCCTACCATCCTAGGAAAAAAAATATCGCTCCCCAGATGTAGATCTACATTTTGCTTTGTTTCGCTCAGACATTTAATGGCGTAGGCATACACACGGAATCACTCGGACATTTAACGGCGTAGACATACACGCGGATAGCTCAAAATGTGTATAGATAAAAGTCATGACCTCATGTTGGTGAACCGCACCGTTCAGCCCGACGTTTTAAAATCATGTAGTGTGAACTAGGCTTAAAAAGACTTACAAAAAAAGAACCTCGAAAGTAGGTTTGTCATAAACTTTTGTTTTGTCACAACAATAATGCACCATCCAAAAGCATCAGAGGAACTCGAATACAAAGTGCACAAATCAGATTTTGGAGCAGCAGTTCCTATTTGAATGATCAAGCTAGATCTCTTACAGTTTTGATCTGGTTAATCATTTGTACAAAAAATGAATGTGTTTCTGTGGTTGAGATCTTGTCACAGAAGCTATCAATAGACTTTAACTTGCCTTGAACCCGGAAACATTCCTTGAACTCGCTCTCTAATGTCTCTTCTGTCAACGTGATCCTGTGAGTGTTGCATATGATATGGGTGACTGTTTTCCTTGAACTCATGCATGATGTTTCTGGTATTACAGTAGAGGAGGAGCAGTTTATCCTTTGCACAAACACTCACAAGCACAGATTCAGATTGTCAGTGCAGTTAACCTCCAACCAACCCATATATCTCCTGGTTGTAATGTCCATACTGGCTGGTACTGGATCCAAAATCTAATCTATTGCATTTTTAGTTTAATTTGGTAAATGTTTTTCATTGCAAAATGACATTATCAGCATGACATATTGAGTGGAAAGTTTCAATAAAAAGGTGATATGGCATATTAACATAGATTAAGGTGAGCTGTTGAAAGTAATGGACGAGTATGTTTTGTTTCCTGCGACTTAATTCCTATTGAAACAAGAAATTAGGATGGGACGTACTGAATAGCTTCTCTCTCTCTTTTTCCAGTTTTTAATGGTAAACATAATCCCTGGTTTTCATTGTGAACTTTTGGACCTCCGAACATAATAGCATTTTGGGTTAAGAATCACTTACATAGGCTACATTGAAATTCAAAACATCAACAAATGGAGTTTTCTGATGACGTTGGATTTCGAATGTCGAATAACAGTTTATAAAGACAAATCCATAGAATAACATCACAGCGGTTCAATCAATGTTTAAAAGAGAGCCTTAACAATGCTTTGAAAGATCCTCACTTTCACATTAAACACATATGTCGTTAAATGAATACAATGTGAGGGTTACTTGAGAGAGCAACACATGAGCTCTAAACACACATCTCCTTTGTCTTTCTACTTCAAATCATAATGACACAGAACCTTGAACATGTTCATCTATAAGACGCCTCTTAGAAAACCAAATTGCATTAACGGAAACCTAAGGTCATCTTACTTTCTGAGAAGTGGATGCATTCGTATTGATTGATCAACATGTGAAAATCAGAGAACTGAAAGAAATTTAATCCGACCAAAAAGGAGACCAGTTCTTTCGTGGGAGGTATGATCGAGATGCATGATTAAGCACCTGTTTTTAGTTGTTTTTTATTACCGACTTGAAGATTTCAGAAGAATCAATAAATCAGGGGAGAGACATTTTCCTTTTCTGAGATCTTTAAATGATTTGGCTTGTTCTTCAAGAGGATGTGGAATATTACTAAGTAAATTGCACAGAAACCCCACCGTCCTGACCATCCTGCCAGTGACATTGATAGATTGTGTGTTCTTGGCAGACGCAGTTCTCCCTATAAGAGGATCTGATTACACCAGACTTTTAGGGTGGGCATTTCTCACTAAAGGACACATGACCGCACACCTTTCAGTGGTTTGCTTTACATCTTTTCTCAGAGGAGTTTGCATAGGCAAACATAATTATCACTATTGCTCAGAATTGAGAGCCGTTTTAGTGCGTGACTCATCCGCAGCATTTGTGCTTTGGACGTGATACAGATGTTTTATTACTTTTCAAAGTGATCCGACTTATGGTTTCTGTCTGGCAAAACATTACCACAGAAATAGAAGGACCCAAGCCTTCAATCTAGAGATCAGACAATCATAAAGACTTATATGTTGGCCTTTTATGGCAGTGCAATAACCCAGAACACAATAGCAATGCACTTAAACCATTTAGTACACCTTAGCAACTGCATAGCAATGCCCTTGCTGGGCACTTTTGCTTGTGCAAGCATCACATTTCCTCTAACTCAAATCCAGCTCTCTTTAGCCAATAACCTTGACGGATAACAATAACCGTTTGTTTTGCTTTTGGCAGGTTTCATTCTCATCCAGCAAGCTACTGCATATGTTAACCAATTACGATGCATGTAAGGGGACAGATCAACACAGTCTCATGAGAGTGCGTATCTATACCACGATTGTCATTTCTCGTGGCATTTATACGCCAAAAATGTTTTTTTGCGTGCATAAACCCCCTGGGTAGGTTTATTATACGCCAAAAAATGCGTATACTATGCATGCGAAAAACTAGTTTTGGTGTATAAATGGCACGAGAAATGACATTCGTGCTATAGATTCGAACTTTCATGAGATTGGGCTTGACAGATGGATGTGCATATTCATTGAAGTACTGGTTACACTTGGCTACATTAATATGTTTTTTTTTTTTTTGTAACATACTTGTCACTTGTGTTTTTTGTCTCCCAGCTAATACACTAGCATTTAGAAGTTTGGGGTCGGCAAAATTCGTCTCATGATCCTTCAGAAATCATTCTGTACATCTCCTCATAGTGCAGAGAAGGGGAAATACTAATGTGACGAACGTAGATGGTTGTAGTGTATGGAAGCTTGTTTCCGCCACTGAATAAAAAAATATAATAAATAATTGTGACTTTTTATCTCACAATTCTGGCTTTTTTTCTCACAATTCTGACTTTATTTCTCAGAATTGCGTGATATAAAGTCGCAATTGCGAGTTATAAAGTCAGAATTGCGAGATATAAAGTCAGAATTGTGTGATATAAAGTCGCACTTCTGAGAAAAAAAGACAGAAGTGTGACTTTTTTTTTCACAATTGCGAGTTTACATCTCGCAATTCTGAATTTATAACACATAATTGCGAGTTTATATGTCGAAATTCTGACATCTTTTCTCAGAATTGTGAGATATAAACTCACAATTGCGACTTATTAGGCCAATTCTAAGGGGAAAAAAAGACTAACTTTTTTCCCCCTCAGAATAGTTTAAATCTCACAATTCTGACTTTATAACACGCAATTGCGACTTTATATCTAGCAATTCTGACTTTATAACTCGCAATTCTGACTTCATATCTCGTAATTCTGACTTTATATCACGCAATTCTGACTTTATAACTCGCAATTGTGACTTCATATCTCGCAATTCTGACTTTATATCACGCAATTCTGACTTTATAACTCGCAATTGCGACTTCATATCTCGCAATTCTGACTTTATATCTTGCAATTCTGACTTTATAACTCGCAATTCTGACTTCATATCTCGCAATTCTGACTTTATATCACGCAATTCTGACTTTATATCTCGCACTTGCGACTTTATATCGCGCAATTCTGACATTATTCTGAGAAATAATGTCAGAATTGCGAGAAGTAAACTCACAATTGTGAGAAAAAAAGTCAGAATTGTGAGATAAAAAGTCGCAATTACCTTTTATATTTTTCATTCAGTGGCGGAAACAAGCTTCCATCGTAGTGTGTATTTGTATGAGTGGTTCTCAACAGGACCCGGCCTGAAAATCAAGTGGTGACCCGAAGTGATATCTAAATTGTTTATCGTACAAAAAGTAAAAACTTTAAAATGTAGTAATATACCCAAGAAATGCTAAGGCCTGACTAAATTATTACCATGACAAAAGCTAAAAATGTATGATGCTGTCACCAGACAAACAATTCATCATAGAAAACACATCGTGGTCAATGCAAACCCTGTGAACCCGTATTTAATAAAGCCTAGGTCACATTTACTCTATATGTTCAGTAGTTTTGTTCATGTACCCTCTCCATTTTGGATTTAGTTGATGCATTTGTGCCTACACATTTATTTTGCTCTCTTGACTATGCATGATTATAGTGTTTGCTGCATTTAATTATTTATTGTCAACGACCCTGTTCAGAACCAGCCGAGTTTGCAGCACAAAATAATTGTAAAAATTGTAGAAAATGTCCAGTTTGTTGATGGGTTGATGAGTGGCTTAGATTTTGGGTGACAAGAAGGCATCCAGATGCAAAAATGTGTGCTCATACAAAAATAGTCAGTGAACTTTTCGACTCCGAAACAAAATTCCATGGAAATTCCAGATTCAAACAGAAAAAGAAAACAAAGCACATCCACAACACACACATACCCACAATTCAACTCTCTTGTGGTGAGTCCACGTTGAAATCAAATCACAGTGGGAACTCGCGGTGAGGGTACAGTCCTTACAAGCAGGCTTTTTTCATTATGTTTTCACAGCAGTCAACAACTTCTTCTGTTCTGTTGTCCTCGTGGGTTGTGCTCAATTGAGCAATTACTGTCCACTGATCATGAGAGATGTTTCCAACATGAATACGTCACTACACAACACAAAGGGATGAACGGGACGGGAGTCGTTCGGTGGGGAGAGCAGGCGGTAGCTATCATACAGAAACAATGGCAGCGTCGGGAAACGTTTTGCTGGTTCAATACGGATGGATTTGCCTTGCATGCTTGCCAGCCCCATTGTGGGGGACGTTTATTGTTGGTCGAAGTGACTACCAAACCGGTTTGACTCGAGGACGGGGTGTCAAATTGAAGCCGTATCCACTTGCTCCACTTTTGAAAGGGCCCCAAATGAGCTTTTGAGGATGTGTGCCGCCCATCCAGCCCAATTCTTTTCAGATTCCGCTGCTTTTGTGTTGAAGCAAAATCCAGGAAAGGCTTTATCTGAGCTACTGCAAATCATAATGGGCAGTGGTGTGTTTTCTCAAGGGCCCCTTCAGTGAATTGTGGGGATGTCTCCCATCCAGGTCCTCGGCAGCAGTCTGGGATACGTGTATGCATTCTGTGAAAACAACCACGGAGGAATTAGGTTTACACAACAAATATAGCATTGTAATGGGCACTTTTCCAGCACAATTGGAATGCACTAAGCACGTTGTTTACAGCCAGACTCAATGCAGCCTGACAAATTAGCTTTCAAATGTGTTTAATTTGATAGCGTTCCCAAGATGATGTTTCTTGGGCAAACAATCCTTCGCTTTTAATCGAGCTATGCCTTCTTAGACTCTCGTTGAGGAATCAATTAACTGTCACAACTATATTTTTGGTATCTTTCTTCATGCAGCCAGGAACATTTTTGAAACGCATGCCTTTTTTCAATTAACTTCTAAATGGCGTGTTTGCGAGCTGAATTCGCATAAACATGTTTCACATTCCCTCGTCTTCAAATAGAGAGTAACCTATGCTGCGTGGCGAACGGCTCATCATGTTTAAAATAATAATTCATCATTAAACCGGTCCCTTCTGGTAAAGAAGCCATGCTTGGTCGTTTTGCTCTAAGTGTGAGTTACCGCATGCATACAGATCAATTACAGTGGTTCCACGTCTTCTCAGAAAAAGTGCAGTTTGTTCCCTACAATGTTCTTTCATCCAGCCAGCAATCTTTTTGTGCAATCATGTGCCAAATGGAGGAGTTTACATGCTGTTTATTTTGCGGTTGAATATATGATCTTCATTCTGTGGGAAGACACAAAAACAGTAGGGGTCTAATCTCTCAATCACAAGGCTCCACAGAGTTGTAATTATTGAGCTTATGAATAAATCATCTTTCATGTTTCATAAAGTTGAGCGAGTGGGATCAGCATCCATGTTTATTCTGAGCTGAACATGGTGATAGACAGCAAGAGCATGACTTTGTTTCTAGTGTTATTATATTGAGTAAATTTAAAAAACAGTTATGTGCAGGAAACATGCATGCATAACATGTTGACTTGATCAAAACCACTTAGGAAAGTCTTTTATGAACTGTGATGCGATCTGGGAAAACCTGTCGGATGTCGCGCTGGTACGTTTTCAGTAAAGTCTAAATATAGATTGAATGTCAGTTTTTTTGTCAAAATTGGGTTTTTACTTAATTCTTATTCTATAACATCTTGTTCATCATCTCTGAATATATCTTGTGATAGTTCACAAGTTTAGTGCAGAAAAATAGCGATTTATATCCAGTATTTTTATGTCATGCTGAAAAGACGGAGCGGAGGGGCAAAAGACAATATCTCCCGTTTAGCTCTCCTTCTCGGACACTACAAAGACAGTTCACCTATCAAACTAAACCACATAACAGAATAAAGTCCAGTCCTGGGTGAACTACAAGTTTTTATTAATTTATTTTTATCCAGCGGTATCATGTGGTGAGATGCGGAGCACAAGAGAACAACAGAGTTTGACAACGCAGTCTCATCCCAAAAAGTCATATAACTGACGTTTTGGGACGTCTTTTGACCATACGTCAATATTCGCCTTTTTAGGGCCCCCTTAAACGTCGGTAGATGAGGTTATGGGATCCTAACTCTACCCCAGACCTAAACCTAACCCTAAACCTAACTGACGTTAAAGGTAAAGCGTCAGTTGTATGACGGCCCGGGATCGCCATCTACCGACGTTTAAGGGGGCCCTAAAAAGGCGGATATTGACGTATGGTCAAAAGACGTCTCAAGACGTCAGTTATATGACTTTTTGGGATGAGAATGTGTTGAGTTTGAAGCTGCTCGCTCACCTCTCAATCGTCCAATTTCAAAACGGTTTTCACAGGATGAATTTTGAGTTTGTAAGCTTTCGAATGATGCCTAATCTATGATGATAACTAAAATATGTGATATGAAAAAAAGGCAATAAATAAAGAGTGCCAGTCATCCCGCTAGCAGGACGTGACCTTTAATTAAACCGTTTTTTTTGGTCATAAAATCATAGCGATCAGCCGACTTCAGATAACCACAACTTTTGTTACAGAAAAACGATAAAAGAAATAAAAACAGATTTGGAAAGGGATTGAATCCAGCTTTAATATGGTCTCAAAAAACCTGTAATATGTAAAATTTCACCATGTGATGGGTTTTCCCAGATCGCATCACAACTTTTTACAAAACATTTTACAACAAAACTGTCTTCATAACTGACATTGTCAAATGAACATCCAGTTAGTGTTATGGTGAGTCTGTTGACTGATTTATTTAGAGAGAACTATTATAAAGGCTGCATTCGCACAAATGATTAGCATAGACCATTTTTCCGTTCGTCCGTCCATCCATCCATCCAAAAAATTTTTTCTCATTTAATTCAATTATATACATTCCAATTTGTGTGTGTAAGTACATTTCATTCACCAACTACAAACAGTATATGTGCATTTTAAGACATCTGGAGGGCAAAAATCTGATAACATACACTAAAACATACACTAAAATACCTAAAACATACACTGTAAGTATGTTTAAGTACGTGATGTAGAGGAGTATAAATGTTTTTTTTTTTTTTTTTTTAAATCTTGATTGTTATTAATCACTAAGACCTCAGAGATTGACTTAGCCAAGGACTCTGTTCACCGTGGTGGTAGATGCTTCACTAATGGCTTTTTAATTTGCACCTCATCAGTCTGGCAATAGAGGTTTCCAGACGGAGAATGGATTGCGCTCACCTTATCATTGATTAGTCTTCCTCGGAGACTCTAAATGAGTCTGTCCATCAGAGGTACTCATTTCTATACAAAATAGAAATTATTATTATAATGCCAGCTCTGGATTGTTACAAATGCACCACTGTAGCCTAACTGCCCTTTCCACACACATCTGCACTCATGCATGTTAACATGTGCATGTGTTTGTATGCAAACTTGCCCTTGATTTATCAGCCCTTGTGAACAGAGTACAGCAGCTCCAGGAGAAGCGAGCCAAACACTGTGACACATAAACGTGCACACATATAAATCTTGATGGCCACTTCTTCCTCCGCCTGTACAATAGAATCATGAGTCATGCGGTGGAGCAAATTAACTGATGGGCCACATAAATTCTTATGATGACAAATAAAAATGTCAACATCAACACTTGGCTAGGTTTGAACACATTTCATATTATATGGCAGATGGATGAAGTGAATCGAACAGCAGAGAGACCAAAAAAAATAAAGGTTGAGGTTTATCTTTCAAAGCTCAAGAGTCTTATAGAATTTTTATGTATGTAATTGTTAGTCATTTTATGTGTCGACATGTATCAGACGTTTCAATCCCTTAGGAAAAATGTGCTTGCATGCATGCTTTGATTGTCCACGCCCAGACAGCAACATAGTGTCGGCCCAGATCCGGCCCACATCTGGTTACGTTTTGAATCCACATGTACCAGATGTGGCCCGGATTGAGGTTGACACTATTGGCGCTTTTCCGCTACACGGTACCAACTCGACTCGGGACGGCTCGGCTCACCTTTGTTTGGTTTTCCACTGTGTAAAAGTTGTACCTGTACCTTCTTTCGGGTACTTATTTTTGTAATACCTCCGGCGAGGTTCTGAGTGAGCTAAGGCGAGCTGAGGCGATACTGAAATGGCTAAAACGACGACTCGTCACCATTCACTGCGTCATCATTGCCCCCTCTAAAACTCAAAAAATGGAGCCATATGATCGAAGTTTCGTTTCAGAAGACTTGATATAACGCACAAGTCACACGGACCACTTTCATGGTTCTTTTAAGGTATTACACAGTATGACACATGTTGTCAGAGTCTCAGCTGCGCCCCCCTCTGGCCTCATCCGGAATATTAAAACTGCATTTCCCATTTCTCCCTCTGATCATTATCTATCTCTATCCTTGCCTGGTTTATCTAATTATCCCCATCTTCGTCACCTGTTCTTCATTATTGCCCCTATATCTGGACTTTGTCATTCACTGTAACTTTGAGAAGTCTTGATTTGCTCTGCTGTCATTACCAAGTGCTGTTCCCTGTTTCTTGTTATTATCCGGTACTTTGATCTCCGCCTGGATTCTAGTTTCTGTGAACCTGTGCTGCCTACCCTGACCCTTGCCTGTGTATAGTTACGGATTCTGGATTGCCCTTAAATGCATCTGACTCAACATTACACATGTAGAACATGTAGGAAAAAAAAAGATGTTTAAGAAAGTACTTTTACTTTCCTTTGGGAATGAACAGGAGAGCATTTACAATAAAAGAGTGTGGGTCTGGGAAGAGGAATGCATGTGCAATCATACCTAATTTGTGACTTTATACATTTAAACCGATTTGAATCAGTTCCCAGAGGTGATTGCATGTACAGTATGTGTATACGGCGTTTACACACCCACCCACAAAATTCACTCATACTCCCATCAGGTAACATGGAAATGGGAAAAACCTTCGTAGTGAAATGAACAATTTCCTTTTTGACGTCTGTGATGGCACTATGCAAATGCACACCCAGAGGGGTCGTAAAGGGTTTGGATCTGCATAATTGTCTCTCTTACTAGCAGGAGAATGACTTTTATATGTCAAATGTTGGTAATTGCTGAAAAAAAAAAATAGACAAGCATCTGCTGGGAGAGATGGTGATATCTTCACAATACTGTGACATTCTCAGAGGGCACATTTGAAGAAAAAGTTTAACTGCACTTTTAAGTTCTCCCTTTATGAAAGAGGGCAAAATGTGGAACAGCTTGTTAGCCGTGAATAACCGAATCAAGTTAAATAGGTTCTACAATTGCAGGCGTATTGATAACTGAGAGAGAATTTTGACCTTTTAAAGCTCTCTGCAGGAAAGACTCTTTTGCTCGCTGATTAGACTGCAATTTGGTTTCTTCAATGCTGTTTGGATTTTGGAAGCTGGCTATGTTTGAAAGGGAATACTAGCATACTGTGCTGTAGTGTTGGCACGCTACTGGTACTTCGTTGCAATACCTTGATAAAATATCAATATTCGATACTTCAGTTGTTATTATTATACCAGCCCGTTCTCATCCCAAGGTGTCATCTAACTAACTGACGCTTTTGACCATGCATCAACATCCGACCCTTTAGGCA